CAGCTCAGACTCGTAGCGATCCTCCTCTCTCAGCCTCCCCAGTGCTGGGGTTACAGGCATGTGCCACCACACCCAGTTTCCAAGGCTGGCTCAGCAGGGGGCCAGCATGGTGTGAAGTACCAGGAATCAAAGCCAGGTCCTTGGGCTTGCCAGGCAGGTGCTTAGGCCGCTGAGCTACCTACCTCTCCAGCCCCATTATAACATTTCTGTAACATTTCATGTCTACTTTTTTTTTTTTTTTTTGGCGGAACCAGGGATTGAACTCAGGCCCTTGTGCTTGCCAGGGAAGCACTTATTCCACTGAGCCATCTCCCCCGCCCCTTCATGTATACTTTTATAATACAAATAATTGTTTGGTAAAATAATAAATGCAGGGAAGATTGAAATAAAATACCAACTTCCTTATTCCCACAGCTCAGAGAGACTTCCAAATATTTTGGAAGTATTTCTCTTTCTGGTTATTTTTAGTTTGTATCCATATGTTTAGTTGTCAAAAGTTGTGAATGCAAAAATGTAAAATCCATAAAAGACCTCAAGCATTTTGTCAAACTGTTTTCCAAAGGAGCATAATGTCCTCTTCGCTGTCAACGGGCTGCATTTTTACAGCCATCAGTGTCTACCATGTAATGTTTTTTTTTAAGTAGTGTTTTTGAGTTTCATGTAGTTAATATTTTTCAAACACATTAAGCCCTTTCTTGGACATTCTGGCTGTTTCTGATGCTTCATTTCTTTATTTTTGCAGTACTGGGGTTTGATCCAGGGCCTTTGGATTGAGCTAAATTCCCAGCCTCCCACCCCCTATTTTTAGTACTGGGGATCGAGCCCAGAATAATCATTGACTTCTATAAATTCAGAATGGCAAGTTTGAGTACCTTGTCATTTGCCAGGAAAATCCCGCAGTGAGGGCCTGGGGCCAGTGGGCCGCATGTATGACTGTCCTCACTGCCAGCAGCTGTCTGCCCAGCAGTTCTGCCAGCTAGCCCTGACTAACTGTCGCAGCCCTTGTTCACGTCACTGTTGTACAAAACTTTGGCCCGGTTACTTTTTCTAACCTGGGATATCTTTCATGATGGAGATAATATTACGAACATTCAGATAATACAAAATGAAGAGGACCAGCGCGATAGCTCAGTGGAATAAGTACCTGCTTAAGTGCAGGGACTGGGGTTCGATCCCCGGCACCACACGCAGCACCAGCCCCATCTCTAGGCGCACTGAGTTCATAACCAAGATCCGGCGTGGTGGTGCACGCCTGTAATCCCAGCACTGGGGAAGCTGAAAACAGGAGGATCACTAGGAGTCTGAACTGTTTGTAGTGAGACCCTGTCTCAAGTACATAAAATAAAATAAAATAATGAAATAAAATAATGAAGAAAGCTATGGCACCCTATTGAAACTTCATTCCAAAAATCTTACCTTTTTCTATACATATAAATTTTTTGCTTCTATGAACTGTATACATATTCACAAATACACTAATATGCCTAAGGCAGAATCACATGCATATGATTTTAGAAGTGACTGGCATGATGTGGCTGTTTTCCACAATAACACAAAGTACATATGTGCTGTACTTGTTACGAAAAACATTTTAAACACTTGCACACTGGGGCTGGAGAGATGGCTCAGTGGAATAAGTGCTTCCCTGGCAAGCGCAACGGCCTGAGTTCAATCTGCAGTTCCACCAAAAAAATAAAAAAATAAATAAAAAATAAATCAACACCTGCACAGCTGTGGTGTAACCCCCGTTAATGGACATGCTTCTATTTTCTTTTGCATCAGTATACATTTGACACAAATCTGTCTGTGAATCCCGAGTACAGTGGTAAGATAATTTTATTTGGTCGGTCCTGAGGATTGAACCCAGGGCCAGAGCTACTCTTCAGCCTCTTGTGCTTTGTTTTAGGACAAGGTGTCACTACATGGCTAAGATGCTCAGGCTGGCCTTGAACTTGCAACTCTTCTGCCTCCGCCTCCAAGTGCTGGGAATTTCCGGTGTGTGCCAGGATACAGAGACTTATTGTCGCTGAAGAGCACTATGCTAGCTTAAGGAAGTAAGGGAGCTTATTGCTTCCCGTGCACCTACCTCAGCAACAGACGGCTTCCAGTGCTTAAACGGCCTGCAGCAGGCAGTGTCCTAACCGCTTGGCTCTGCCGCTTGCCGCAAGAGCTCCTTTCTTGCTGGCAAGCGCCCACCGGCGGTTCCTCGTCTATTTCCCATGAACCTGGCAACCCAAACAGAAAGAACGCCTCACGCCACCGACGACCGCCACATTCCCTCCACATGGACTCCTCTCCCAGCAGCGGTCCTACCGCGCCCTCTGCCGCCTCCATTTGTACCCCACACAGCATCAGTCACGCTAGGCAGCGTGGATTCCCACATCCACATCCCTCCCAGGAAAACCCTTCCAACGTCGTCTGGGCCCAGCCAGCCCCTCCCCCAGGTCTCCCCATTTCTTGATCTGCCTCTGCTCACCTGGGCTTCCTTGCTCCTCCCACGTGCACCAGACGCCCCCCACCCCTGTACCTGGTCTGCTGCCTCCCGCTACTCACAGTTCAGCACTCCAGATCTCCGTTGGAAGAATCTTGCTCGGACAGACTTAACATTCATTTCACAGTCATCTCCTTATGCTTTGCTACAGTGTTGAGTGCATTTGCCCTAAGTATATTTTGAAACCTAAGCCCCAGCGTGATTGGCTAGGGGGCCTTCGGGAGCTGAGAACCTTCACGAACGGAACAAGTGCATCAGGAGAACTCAGAGAGCTCCCTGTCATACCACCCTGCGAGGACGAGGGAAGGTGCATCTGTGAACCCGGAAATGCCCTTGCTAGACACTCAACCGGACAGAAACTTGATCCTGGACTTCTGCCCCAGAACTGTCAAACTTTTCTGTTGCTTATTTGCCACTGGCTACAGCAGTCTGACGTAGGACATCCTTGCACCCCTGCCAATGCCCTGCTTCCCTGTTCTAACACACAGCCAGGGTACTATAAACTTCACTTTTAGCCTGTACTTCCCACTGGCATGAGTGTCTGGCAGCCAGGGACTGTGCATGCCCCGCCACTGGCCAGGTGTGGCACCAGGAGAGGAGGAACCAACACTCCTTTAAGGCTCAAAAAAAAAAAAAAAACCTCAAAACTTTAATCAGAGAATCACCTCGCATACACACATGGCATCTCTACAATGACTGCCGAAGAAACAAACCACTCCCAACTGGCTGCCAACTTTCCACAGGACTTTTTTTTTTTGCAGAACCGGGGGTTGAACTCAGGCCTTTGTGCCTGCCAGGGAAGCACTTATTCTACTGAGCCATCTCCCCGGGCCTCCACAGGACTTCCGATCTCTATCACCGGTGTCCAAGCCCTACTGAATATACTCATCACCTTGGTTCTGCCCTGCCAACAGCTCACAGGTCCCTTTCAGATGCAACACATCCATCTCCCAGTGCAGTTACAAGCATCAGCCGCTGGAAGAGCAGACTGCTCGGCACCATAGCACGGCCCACGGTGCACATAGCAAGTTCTCGTTTCAACTACAAAAACAAGCAGAACTCACAGCAGGGTGAGGGCTTTAAAAAATGCCAAGATGTAGAGCACCCCAAATATGGCACACAGTATCTGAATCCAACATTTTCATAAGCTTCTGAAGCTTCAGTAAATGTGACTAGGCCACTCAAGTAGAGCACAAAAGCCCAGAGCAGACAAAAAGACCGGAGGCTGGTCACACGGTTCAACGGGGTGTTGGCTGATGGAAGAGGTACGAGCAAGATGGGGCTGCAGTGGGAAGGACGGTCCCCTTGCTGGGCTTGCCAATAGTCTTTGGTGGTTCTAGGACTTGCTGGAGAGAGAACTGGCATTTTACAGATGTAAAATTTCCCTTCCCGATGCCAGAAGTTGCAGGGTCAGGGCTATCAAATCAGTATTCCTTCTCTGGGAGCCTACAAAAACGTTTACCCTGGAAAAATGGTGAACAATTTGGCAATCACTTCCACGTACCAATTTTCACCACCAAGCATGTTGTTAGTGGTTTGAGCTTCATGTGGCAATGTCCAATACTACTTCCCCAACTGCCTCCCAAGTTAGCAGAATCCATTCACAAATCTGTGTTCGCAGTACTGTTAACCATCACGGTATGAGCAACTGCTGTGGAAAAATATTATGGAAGGTGGTATGCGAACAAGGGCAGGAGTCCCCTGTGAGAGATCTGAGAAACCAACAGAAAGTTTTAGCCTTCTGAGATTAGATCCTTACACATTCCTCTCTTGGCTTTTGGTAGAACTGTTCATAGAGCAGAGATGGAGGAAAGGAAAAATCTAAGCATAAAAGGTGGCGGCACAGGCCCATAATCCCAGCACTCTAGAAAGTTGAGGCAGGAGGATTTCAAATTCAAGCCAAAACCTGGGAAAATTAGAGCTTTACCCAAACTGTTTCAAGATTTATTA